CCATCACCACCTCCCCCCCCTCTCCCCAGCCGGAGAAGTTGGGAATAATTCACGCGGCCAATAAAACAAGTGGCAGAGATGGACAGTGTTACTTAAATAAACAAGGGTCTCTTTAAAATTCTCATCCACTTCAGATGTCTAAAGTAAGATTGTGATGATTTTGTCACGGTTTGGTAAATTTACCCCTTTAAGAGGCTTTCATAAATCCCAGAACACACCTTCAGCCAGATTTGAATATAGATTTAGGTTTTAAAACCCAGAAGCTGGGAACACCGCTTTATCAAAGAGAATTTCCCTTTAGCTTAGCGATGTGTCGGAATGGCTCTCGCAAAGATTGGATCTGAGAGGGGGAAAAAGGGGGAACCTTCTTTCCTGGAGCAATCCTGCACACACTTTGCAGCTGCCTCTGCCTTCAGCCTTCTGCAGCGCGGGGAAAAGTTGCAAAAAAAAATTATATATATTCATAGTAATCGTTGCAGCAGTAGGAACTTGAGGGTGGTTTTTTATTATCATTATTTTTCAATGATTTTTTTTTTTTTAAACTTTCCAATCTTTTCTGGTCCATTTGGAAAGCGTTTCAGAGCAGGTACAGTCCCAGAGAGCCAGACTAGCTGGGGCTGACGGGGAGTGAGTGGAGATGTGTGATTTTTTTTTTTTCCTGCCCTCTAAGAACTTTTGTGCTCAGAGAACCAAAATCTGCTTCTGGGATGAAAAGAAACTGTAACTTCTGCTTCTCAGTAAGTTCTCCAACTTTCCGATGCCAGTCGTGTTACAGAGCCATTTTCTCTCTCTCTCTCTCTCTCTCTGCCTAGTTGTGTTTCTTCTCTTTTCTCTCTCTCTTCTCTCATTTAATTTCCGACTCTTCTCACTAATTCGACCGTTTCGCGAGTGGTTTTGCTGCCGTGTGTATCGCGCTGAGCTGCTGCCCTTCTGTGTTATGACCAAGGTGGGAGGGGGGGTGGGGGGAGAAAAAAAAAAAAATCATTTATTCAGGTCGGGGGAAAGTTAAGGAAGGAAGTTTAAAAAAAAGAAAGAAAAAAAAACAACCACAAAAAACCAAACCAGCCCAAAATGAAGCGATTTATTATTTGTCATCTTTGTATCTCGGATGGGCTCCGGAAAGCGATGCACGCTCCGCACTTTTAAGCTTTTCCCTCATCGGATTTGTGTCTAGTTAAAATATTCCAGACTTTCCTTGAAGTTTATCTGCAATTCAATTGCGGGTTGGGGTTTTTTTTTAGTCTTTGGGTTTTTTTTAGTTGTTTAGTTGTTGAGTTTTGGGTTGGGTTTTTTTTTTTTTTTTTTTTTTTTTTTGTCGTTTGTTTGTTTTGAGTTGGTTTACTTTTCCAGTTCGACACTTCCCCCTCTCTCCCCTCTCCCCAAAATATCGGTTTTGGGGTGCAAAGCCAGGGGCACTGGCAGAGCAATGTCACTTCGAAAAAAGCTCGGATTCGTTTTAAAATGCCGGAATGCTTAAAATATATAGATATATATAGATATCCCTCCTTTTCCAAGCGTCTGGGAGAGGGATGGCAGAGCCGTCATCTCCTTTGGAAAAAAAAAACAATAAAAAAAACATGTATATATTTAGGTAGCATCTTCACCTCGATTAAACCAAGTTTTATAAT